TACCTACACCTCCATCTTGGCCGGAACACTTGCCCATTAGTTTGGATTGCTGAAAGAATTTAGCAACTCATTTACTTAGCAGGATCATTTTGGTTAGTAGCAGTAATATGTTAGCTTAAACAAAAGAAAAATGTTAAACTGTCTTTACAATTGACCTATTATCTTGCTTCTAATCCTTCATGTGCTGGATAAAGTTTCCACTGATGTGGAATTTGAGAACATTTTCAATGTTTCTAACAGAGTTTAAGAAAGTGTTCTCTGTCCACCACCCTCTTCCCATTTCCATATTCCATATTCCATAAAGGTCTGGCCTTTATTCCTCTGTTTAACACCCAAAGTTGTCAACAATACAGGCACCAAAGATTCTGTCAGGGGACTCTGACTGCAGAATCCCCCTAAGCTGCCATGGATGAGAATAAATCTACCAAGACATGATCTGCTTGAGGCGGAAAGGTGGCTGATCTTGTGGGGGCGACTACTTTCTCAAGTTCCCCCCCAGTGCCACAGACACGCATGAATGAGTAAATATGGCTGAGACATGCTGGATCTGTTTGGGGATGGAGGCGTGGGCTGTGGCCAGTTTCTCCAGGGAGAAAGAGGCCCCGGTCACCCTCTTCCATAGCATTTTACTGGGTTGTAATACACAGGAATACAAGGCGGCAAGGATCAAATAGTAGATAACATTACAAAGAGATCTGAGGGCTTCAGAGTCAGTGTCTGTCAGGAAGAGAGTTGCAGAAACTTTGGGAGACATACCCATTTCCTCTTGGACCTTTATCATATGAATGAAAGCACTCTTAGCAGAGCAGATTTCACAGGATTATCAGCAAGTCTTTGTGGTGCCAGATTTTTCTCCAGGCCAGGCAAGGAGCTGCACCTCTCCCCATCAGGTATTCAGGCTTAAGAGGATTAGAGCCAGGGAGTGCTTCTCCCAGAGTACCTGGGGACTCAGGCTTTGACAAAGCTGGGGGGCGAGAGTCCATTGCTCTCTGTTGCAGCCCCCTGAGTCCTTCCATGAAGGCCTCCCAGGTGATCCAGTCTGGCTTAGGTTGCCCCCGCTGTGAGGGGTCTTACCTGTCATTGACTTCCGACCAAGCTCTGGGGGCAGGGAGAGGAAACTGAGGCATCGTTTGCTACCAGAGACAGGCTTTGTCTCCTGCAGCTGGCATTCCAAAGGTCGGCTGGCATTCCAAAGGTCATCTCTTGCCCTTAGCCATAAGGGGTAGAGATACAATTCCTAAAACTAGGCAGAGCGGTCTACAACATGATCTCTCAAAGGAGAAGGGCCCAGAGCCTTTTCCTCAATGGGCTCTTATTGGGTTCAATTTGCACAGGAATACAGGTAAAGCTCATCAGTCAAACAATAGATAACACTGAAAGAATTATGAGGGCTTATTCTGAGTGAGGGTTAGTTAGCTACAGGGCCATAAAACTTTGGGAAAAAAAACTCATTTCATGCTGGGACCCTTATCAGAAAAGTGAGGGCATTCTTAGCAAAGCAGGTTTCACAAGATTTTGTGCATTCTTCCTTAGACCTGATCACCCTGGGGAACTGCCCATTCCTGCCCAGGGCTTAGACATTTTCCCCAGGGCTCACCGCCCTCCAGCATTGTTTCAGGCTTAAGTCAGGCAGGGGAAGTAAGGCAGCCAAGAGACTAGGAGACTTCTTGCAGACAGAATTATGTCAAAGCCAAGGGATGAGGGTCCATCACTCCTTTTCTATAGTCCCCAAATCCTTCCCTGAGGTCCCCTTTGAAAACACGCCTGTCTTAGGTAATTTCTTCCTAGAGGAATCTTACCCATCATTGGCTAACTAGTCATCTCCCCAGGGCCAAGCAGAGTGAAGTAAAGGGAGCAGAGGTGGCTCTCCTGCCAGGAAGATAAGCTTTGTCTCCTTAGTGGCTTCTGGTCCCAAGGTCTCTCACTCAGCTTTAGCCATGGGGGAGGTTACAGCTTCTGAAACCAGGCAGGGAGGTTCCCAACAGATTTCCATTCTAATTCTGAGGAAGATCTTCATACTAACACTTCTACTTTCCTTCCTGCCTCCTTTTCTACCTCATTTCTCTCTCACCTTTTTGCCAACCCAGTAATGTATCCTCACTGCTTCTGAATCTTCACACCTCACTTTGTCCTTCATCTTGCACTTGCAACTGTTCCCTCAACTGGAGATTCGTCTGGGGCAGGATGGCATCATTCTGTCCTCTGTATCTCTTACCTTAGCATAGTTTAGGACAAACAGTAGATACCTCATAAATAATTGCATTAAAATGGAGTAATGATTGATATTTTGTAACAAAGTTTTATTTTTAATTAATTAATGCTGAGATTGTTTTCAACCTGAAAAAATGCAAATAAGAGCCCTGGTGGATCTATCAGAGTAATTCAAGCATGTTGACTAGATTAAGGTTTCCTCATACTCCTTTCATGAACAGTATCAGACAAATATCATGTGTGTACACGTGCTTTATAAGTATTTTCTGATGAAGGGGGTATTGCTCTGTTACAGGAGTTTGTTGAGCTAAAGAATCAATATGCTGCTCTTCAACATAAGACAAGTGCAACAGGACTGACAAAGGAAACAATTGCAAAAGTGAATCAGCTAAAAGATGCAGCAGAGAAATTGGCTGGAGATACAGCCGACAAGATAAGAAGAATAACAGGTATTTCTTCTCTTTTCCAACTTTACTGAGGTATAATTGACAAATAGAATTGTATATAAACTGTACAATGTGTGGATTTGCTAGACGTGTACATTGTGAAATATTACCATAACTAAGTTAAGACATCTATCAACTCACATGATTCCTACCTTCTCCTTTTCTACCTTTGAGAATGCTCGAGATCCACTCACATGCACGATACAATATTACTATCATCAGCACCCTACTGTGCATTAGATCCTCAGAACTTACTCATCTGACCCTTTGACCAGCATCTCCTCATTTCACCCACCCCCACCCCCAGCCCTGGCAGCCACTATTCTCCACGATCTGTTTCTGTGAGTTCAACTCTTTTTTTCTTCTAATGAGTGAGATCATATAGTATTCGTCCTTTTCTGTCTGGCTTATTTCACTTACTATAATGCCCTCCAGGTTTATCCATGTTGCAAATGGCTAAAATATATATATATATATATATATATATATATATATATATATATATATATACACACACACACACATAAAATATGATAATGTATATTATACATGTATTATATATACAACATAACTTTCTTTATCCATCTGTCTATTGACAGACATGCAGGCTGTCCCCATACCTTGTACATGGTGAACAATGCTGCACTGAACATGGGGTGCAGCTATCTCTTCATGACACAGATTTAGTTTTCTTTTCATAAACAGTCAAAAGTGAGATTGCTGGATGATATGATAGCTTTATCTACTCTTTTACCCACTTCATCAGTTTGACAATAATACTGTCATCCTCCACCAGGAGGTAGAATTTGAATTTATCATTGGCACAGTTTAACCACATGAGTCCACTGAGGAGAAAGGAGGAATTGCATTTGTACGTTGGGGACTGCAAAGTAACAGGCCTCTTGCATGGTTTTCCTTAAAAGGGTATTAATTAGCATCCACTCTGTTCTGCGTTAATCAGAACAAACTGAGATTTACCTTTGGTCACCTTGAAACACCCTTGTCTTAACCCAGTGGTTCTTACCCAGGGGTGATTTTATTCCCTCCCCTGGGGACAAAAACCTCTGAAGACATTTCTGCTTGTCACAGCTAGGGAGCACAACTAGCATCTAGTGACTGGAGGCCAAGGGTGTTGCTAAACATCCCATCATGAACAGGATATCCACCCTCTCCCCAGGACAAACGATTATTCTGCCCAAAGTCCCAGTGGTACTGAGGCTGAGAAACCCTGGCATGACCTGCGCTGCCTGTTTTCTCCTTTGTGCAAATCACTCCTTCGGAGACAGTATAATCTATCTCCGAGCAAGGTCTGTGGGTAGCAATCCAGAAGGAACCATATTCTGGACAAGGATTTTTATCAAAATGGGGATGTTAACACAAAGTGTGCACACATAGAATGCGTATAGTCAGAAAGTTCACTGGGTTTTTGCTTTACACAACTAACGCTCATGATTTTTCCAGGCCTTCACCAAGTCATCCTTAACTACCTCCAAATCAACAAGAAATATCAAACAATGGGTGTCTAGGTTTACGTTTGGTTGTATGTATTGTTTCCCAAAATTGTAAAATAATCATATTCCTTTGTAATATAAGTAACTCTGAAAAATTTTAAATTACCCAAATTCCTCACTTATAAATGCTTCTTTGTTATAAAGCAAGTTTTTGGCTGTACAACCATTCGTATCCTCGGCATCACATGAAAATGCAGCACTAATGTGGGCCCATGCAAAGGAAATACATGCCAATGGTCACCACTAATTATCTCTGGGAATGGGGAGAGTGAGAGCAAAACACACTTCTTACATTTATACAATTGTTTAAAAGTAGTGACCTTGTGGGGTTTTTTCATTTTCAATATTTTTCCTAATAATTTTAAAAAGGAGATACTAGGAAAGATTAAAAAGGACAGATATAAAGTTTTTGTTTTTTAACCTTATACTTGGCTACATAGGCCAGTGAAAATCAGTTTCCATTATTCCCAGACCTAGATCCTTTTTCTATAAGAGCAAAACCACGGGAAGAATATTTTCTGTAGACTTTATATCAGGGTCTAAATTGTTTCCACTTCTCCCCAGAGATTAAAGCTTTCACAGTCTTGAATTAGGTTGGGAGAGAAGTTTAAGTTCGGGGACTTCTCAGAGAGGTCTCAGATAACGCATTCCATTTTTCCTCTTTTCATGTTAAGGCTGTTTTCACAACTCAACAAATAGGAAAAACAGACATTGGTTTGGCCGTCTCCCTGACTCTGCCACTTGCAAAGGGGCTGAACCACAAGAGCTGTGCTCTGTTCCCATCTCTTAGGAAGAAATGCATGTGAAATCCTAGAATACAGCCCTTACTTACCTTGGCAGAATCAAAGTTAAGAAAGTCAAGAGTGGGCTTCACTCTGCAGCCAGGGCCCCTCCACAGAGCTTTCTCAGTCAGGGTCTCAGAAAGAAATTGAAAGTGCACTTGGATGTAATTCTGGGTCATGTGTTTATGAGCAGAGCTATCTCAGTTACCTACCCAAGTAGCTGCATTTGGTGGTGGGCCAGCTGGCAGGCCTGCCAGGGGCTGGGCTTGGCTGAGAAGCTGGCCCTCTCTCTCTCTCCGAGTGGTCTTTCACCCCAGGCTGCTTTGCAGCATGCTCGTTTGAGGGTTCTGCAAGAATAAGCACTGAAGCTCCAAGGCCCTTGAAGTCCTGCAACATCATTTCTTCCACTTTCTATTGGTTGAAATAATTTGCAAAACCAGACCTGGTCTGGGGGGGAAAGGATGAATAGTCTCCACTTCTTGATGGGAGAGACTACCAAGAATGCACAGGAATTAAAGGACACAAACAAGGATCTGGAGGTTCTGGGTGACAGAAGCTGTGAGAAGCCTGCGGGAGCAGGGACAGCTGGCCTGTGAACACTGGCGTGGAAGAGGCCCCGCCTGCAGGAGCTGGAGCTGAGATGTAAGAACTGACAGAACCTGCTCCTCAACAGGGCAGCATCCACTCTCTCTCCCTGCCCTCCCCACCGCTTCTCAGTGGAGAGGGACAGCCAGAGGTCAGGGAGCCAGGTGATGTCATCCACGAAGGCCAGCTTTCCAGGACACACGGTGGGGTGGAGAATGGATCTGACAGGACAAAGCTCTGGAAAGAGAACAGGTTCACCAAGTCTCCCTGTCAGGATTTATAAAGCCCATGCCAGAGTTTCTGTGCAGAGGGCCCAGGCTCCAGCTGTGGCCACCACATGATTTTACATGAGAAAAATAAAGTGAATTAAGCCTGTAAAATTTTTTAAAATAAATAAAAATTAACCAGCACAATCTTGTTAACTTATGTAGTAGAAACATAGGGGTCTTGTCTTCTTTTTAGAAACATACTTCCAATCCTGAATCCCCTTTTCAATCCCAAATGACCTGCATTTGAAAGTCTCTAGTGACAAAATGCTCACTGCCTCCCACAGCAGCTCTTTACTCTTTGAACAGCTATGACTACTAGAAACTCTTTCTATTCAGACAAAATCTTCATGGGGCTTTCACCTGCTGGTTTCATTCTGTTTCCTCAGACTGGCCAAATAATAATAATGATAATAACAACACCAACAACAACAACAGCCAAAACAAGAACGAAAATCCCCACACACTTACTCTGCTTTTCTGGCCCTCAAATACTTAAAAATAGCCATACCACATGCCCTGAATGTTCTCTCCTTTATATGAAAATCGGCAGTTAGTTCAATTTTTGTTCAGAGGACTGATTCCGGTTTCTACACAATTCAAACACATGCTGCATGGTAGTGTGACAGTTGCCCAAACCAAATGAGTGTCCGGGTGTGGCCTAAGGGAGTGCAGGGAACATGGGCCTTCCATCTTCCAGAGGTTTCACTTCAACCTAAAGCCAGTTTCTTTTCTAAAGGCCGCCTCACTGTTAACTGTAGCTCATGGTACATCTCCTGTCCACTACTTGGTGGGCTCCTTATTACGGTTTAATAAAATCCCCAGATATGTGTTAATTGAAGAATGGATGGATGGATGGATGGATGTGGATGGACTGGAGTGAAGCCAGGAAAGGCACCCTTTGCTCTCACTCTACAAAGACTTCAATGTTAGCAGAGGAGAATGAAGTGAAAATATCAGTCCTTTTTACCAAAAGATTGGGAAACCCTAAAGTGAAAAACACATGTTACAAAGTAAACTTAAAATAGAAAGAAAAAACCTTTGGAAATACAGCACTTCACCAGATGCAGTCAAGGCTTGCCACCTGTCTTTTCACTTCTCTTAAATTCTAACTAGCTATAGATGCCTTAGTAAATGCCTTTAGATAGAAAATATTTTTTGGCAAAAATATCAATTTGTTTGCTCCAATTTACATAAAAGTCTTGGGAAGTTCTGATTAAAATAAATGTTTTATCTATTGAGTCAAAACACAAAACTAAAATATCTTTAAAAGACACAGAAAACCCTATGCTAGGTATCATGTGGGGAAGAATCTATCAAATAGAAATATATCATCCACTTTATTTATTTATTTATTTATTTATTTATTTATTTATAGATTTAGAAAAGAAGATCCAAGATTTGAATCTAAGTAGACAAGAAAAAGCTGATCAACTGAAACAGTTGGAAGATCAAGTCATTGCCATTAAAAATGAAATTGTTGAGCAAGAAAATAAATATACAACCTGTTAGGCAGAGTTCGAGTTCAAAGGCCTGTGCCTTCATGTCTCTGCTGCCGCCCTCCCCAGAGCCCTCTCCTTGCTGCACATCTGCTCAGTGTGGCCACCAAGTAGAACTGGGCCCAGGAAAAGCCACTTCATATGGAATGGAAAAGGGGAAGAAAAGCGCTAGACTCTGGTTTCAGAAATCTTTCCTCTTGCCTTTCATAACAAAAATAATTAGTTACGTATGACAAGTACAAATTTAACCAAGTATTCTATTTGCTAATAATTTCAGGCAAATGAACCTAGATGTTAAAATACATTGTCAGAGGCTGGGGGTGGTGGAGAAGGGGGAGTTACTAACCAACTGGCATAAAGATTCAGTTAAGCCAGATGAATAAATTCTAGGGGTCTGTGGTACATTATTATACGTACTGTTAACAATAGTATATTGTATACTTAAAAATGTATTAAAATGGTAGGTCTTGAGTTAAATGCTTTTCCAATGATAAAATAAAAATAAATGCATTTAAATTAAGTTAAAATAAATCCATTAATATGTCTAATACTAGAATGAAATAAATATGGATGATATATACTAGTGTTCCTGTATTTTGTTTTTATTTGGATTTGCTTTATCTGTAAAACTATTACTCTGGTCTGAATAAAATGTGTACAATTCAAAATTCTATACCCACTTTCCTACTCATTTATTGTCTCAACCAAGGGCTTCTATTTTCCCCAATAGTCAAAAACTAAATATTGAACTACTTTTCAAAATTTCTCTGCAAGCATTTCTGCTGTAAATCTTCTACTTATTTTTAAAAGACTAGCAATTATATCACTATTGTTTAGTGTAAAAAAATCAGATTGTCTTATTTCAAATGAGCTATGATTTCACTTTAACTTTTCTGCATATATGATATATAAGAGAGCACATTGCTTCTGCTTACTATCCTTCAGTAGGATTATTTTAAGGGAATTTGACCTCACATTTTAAAATAAGAAACAATATGCATCAACACTGGTGTATGAAGGAGGAAAAGTCAGTGAAACCACTTCTATTAAGGACTGATTCATAAAAGATGGATTTTAAAATTCAACAAAGGGGCCCTGGCTGGCATAGCTCAGTAGGTTGAGCGCGGGCCTGCAAACCACACGATCGCAGTTCAATTCCCAGTCAGGGCACATGCCTGGGTTGCAGGCCGGTTCCCTGCAGGGGATGCACGAAAGGCAACCACACATTGATATTTCTCTCCCTCTCTCCTTCCCTTCCTCTCTCAAAGATAAATAAATAAAATCTTAAAAAAAAAGGAAATTACTAAAAAAAATTCAACAAAGGGGCTTTAGGATTATATATTAATATTAAATTTCCTAAAATGTAGATTATTAAGGAAAATTGGCAGTTCCCCTGGAGATTCTGAAAAATAGAATGAAACTTTTCTATAGGAAGGATCACCCAGAAACCTCTTAAAGTGTATTATTGTAATGCTCCATGTATCCAGCACTCAGACTTGGGCACCCGCACCAGAATGGCACACAGAACGAACCAGGGGGTTGAAAATAAAACTGACGCAAAATCTTAGCTGTTTACTCTAATGTAGAGGGTGGAACATACTCCAGCTTTTCCACCAGGATACTGGCTTTCAACTTTGTACAAATGCAATGATTGTTTGCAATACCAACTTTCAGTTGCTCTACCTTTTCAGCCATCAGAGTCACAGGCCAGAGTGTGACAAGGGTTAAAGAGGGGAGAGTATCTGTCCTCTGACTGGGAGGCTATTGAGTTCAGAAGAAACAGAAAGTTCCTCAGCCATGAAGAAGGTACAGTAATCTGGGGGATCAAGGGCAAGGGCAAAATAAACCCATCCTCTCCATGGGCCTACAGGGATTGCAGTTCACTGAGGTGAAGAAGTATGTGATACACCTTGAAAAGATTGCAATTAAAAAGTGGTTAGACTTCTGGCCAAGATGGAGACATAGGTAGACACTCTGTGCCTCCTCACACAACCAAAAGAAGGACAACAATTTAAAAACAAGAAACAACCAAAACTGACAGAAAACCAAACTGTATGGAAGTCTGACAACCAAGAAGTTAAAGAAGACACATCCATCCATACCAGTAAAAGGAGCAAAGACAGGCAGTCCAGCAGAGAGGGCTTGTGGCAAAGTGGCAGCTGGTGGACCCAGCAAGGCAGCAGATTGTAGAGCAGGGAGCACGAGGCAGCAGTAAGTGGACCCGGTGAGGCAGCAGATTGCAGACTGGGCAGTCCCACATTCACACACAAATAAACCAGGAGGAACAACAAGGAAGCAAAACAGACCACACAACCCAGGGCCCCTGTATGGGAAAATAAAGCCTCAAATCACTGATTGAAAAAAAACCTGTGGGGGTTGAGGCAGTGAGAGGAACTCCCAGCCTCACAAGAGAATTCGCTGGAGAGACCCACAGGGTCCTAGAACATACACAAACACACGCATCCTGGAATCAGTACAAGAAGGGCCCACGTTGCTTGTGGGTAGTGGGAGAAGTGACTAAAATCCAGCAGAGAGTGGAGCAAGTGCCATTGTTCACACTCAGACCCCTCACACATACACAATGTCACAACCCAGCAACAGGAGTTACCCCACCATAGTGAACACCTAAGACTCCGCCCCTCACTACATAACTGGCACATCAAGACAAAAAAATGGCCCAAATAAAAGAACAGATCAAAGATCCAGAAAAAAACACAACTAAGCGATGAAGAGATAGCCAACCTATCAGATGCACAGTTCAAAACACTGGTGATCAGGATGCTCACAGAATTGGTTGAATT